CACTATTCCCCACTGACACCAATGATGGTGCCCCATCATTAGTGTCAGTGTGTGAGGAATAGTGCCCCATCATTAGTCAGTGGGAGGAATAGTGCCCCATCATTGGTGTCAGTGGGAGGAATAGTGCCCCATCATTGGTGTCAGTGGGAGGAATAGTGTCCCATCATTGGTGTCAGTGGGAGGAATAGTGTCCCATCATTGGTATCAGTGGGAGGAATAGTGCTCCATCATTGGTGTCAGTGGGAGGAATAGCGGCCCATCATTGGTATTAGTGGGAGGAATAGCACCCCATCATTGGTGTCAGTGGGAGGAATAGCGCCCCATCATAGGTGTCAGTGGGAGGAATAGCGCCCCATCATTGGTGTCAGTGGGAGGAATAACGCCCCATCATTAGTATCAGTAGCAGGAATTGCACCCCATCATTGGTGTCAGTGGGAGGAATAGCGCCCCATCATTGGTATTAGTGGCAGGAATTGCGCCCCCCATCATTGGTGTCAGTGGCAGGAATTGCGCTCCATCATTGGTGTCAGTGGGAGGAATTGCGCCCCATCGTTGGTGTCAGTGGGGAGAATATTGCCCCATCGTTGGTGTCAGTGGGGGAGAATAGTGCCCCATCGTTGGTGTCAGTGGGGGAGGAATAGTGCCCCATCGTTGGTGTCAGTGGGGGAGGAATAGTGCCCCATCATTGGTATCAGTGGGAGGAATAGTGCCCCATCGTTGGTATCAGTGGGAGGAATAGTGCCCCATCGTTGGTATCAGTGGGAGGAATAGTGCCCCATCGTTGGTATCAGGGGGAGGAATAGTGCCCCATCATTGGCGTCAGTGGGAGGAATAGCGCCCCATCATTGGTATGAGTGGCAGGAATTGCGCCCCATCATTGGTGTCAGTGGGAGGAATTGCGCCCCATCATTGGTGTCAGTGGGAGGAATTGCGCCCCATCATTGGTGTCAGTGGGGAGAATAGTGCCCCATCATTGGTATCACTGGGGGAGAACAGTGCCTCATCGTTGGTGTCAGTGGGGGAGGAACAGTGCCTCATCGTTGGTGTCAGTGGGGGAGGAACAGTGCCTCATCGTTGGTGTCAGTGGGGGAGGAACAGTGCCTCATCGTTGGTGTCAGTGGGAGAGGAACAGTGCCTCATCGTTGGTGTCAGTGTGGGAGGAGGAATAGTGCCCTATCGTTAGTGTCAGTGGGGGAGAGGAGCGGCTGCTCCTTCTTCCAGTGCGGCCGCTCGATTTTCGCGGGGCCACTCGGCTCCGCCTCCTCGTCAGTGATTGGTCGCCTGTGTGCCTTTCCAGTGCTGGCGCCCAATCACCGGTGAGGAGGCGGAGCCGAGCGGCCCGCGTGACCATCGAGCGGCCCGAACTGAAAGGAGCAGCCGCGCTTCTTCTGGACCGGATCGTCGTGGGACCGGAGCCAGGTAAGGTACAGCAGCCCCTCTGTCCACCCCTGTACTTAGTGTCCGTTGGAGGAGAAGGGGGGCGGCGCCCCCTCGAAAAAATGCCACCCTGACACCGGCTCGCACCGGCGTATAAGACGACCCCCGACTTTTGAGAAGATTTTCAGGGGTTGAAAAGTCGTCTTATACGCCGGAAAATACGGTACGTTATTGGGATTTTATGTGGTAGACCAACATGAAGTGGCACATAATTGGGAAGTGGAAGGAAAATTATAAATGTTTTTCAAATTTTTACAAATAAATATCTGAAAAGTGTGGCGTGAATTTGCATTTAGCCCCCTTTACTCTTATACCCCTAACTCAAATCTAGTGGAACCAATTCAGAAGTCACCTAATTAGTAAATAGAGTCCACTTGTGTGTAACTTAATCTCAGTATAAATACAGGTATTCTGTGAAGCCCTCAGAAGTTTGTTAGAGAACATTAGTGAACAAACAGCATCATGAAGGCCAAGAAACACACCAGACAGATCAGGGATAAAGTTGTGGAGACGTTTAAAGCACGGTTAAGTTATAAAAAAATATCCCAAGCTTTGAACATCTCACGGAGCACTGTTCAATCCATCATCTGAAAATGGAAAGAGTATGGCACAACTAAAAACCTGCCAAGACATGGCTGTCCATCTAAACTGACAGATCAGGCAAGGAGAGCATTAATCAGAGAAGCAGCAAAGAGGCCCATGGTAACTCTGGAGAAGCTGCAGAGATCCACAGGTCAGGTGGGAGAATCTGTCCACAGGACAACTATTAGTCGTGCACCCAACAAATCTGGCCTTTATGGAAGAGTGGCAAGAAGAAAGCCATTGTTGAAAGAAGTCCTATTTGCAGTTAGCGAGAAGCCATGTGGGGGACACAGCAAACATGTGGAAGAAGGTGCACTGGTCAGATGACTTGCAGCTGTAATTGCAGAGAAAGGTGATTCTAAAAAGTATTGACTCAGGGGGGCTAAATACAAATGCACAGCACACTTTTCATATATTTATTTGTAAAAAAAAAAAAATTTAAAACCATTTATCATTTTCCTTCCACTTCACAATTATGTGCCACTTTGTGTCGGTCTATCACATAAAATCCCAATAAAATACATTTACGTTTTTGGTTGTAACATGACAAAACGTGGAAAACATCAAGGGGTATGAATACTTTTTCAAGGCACTGTAAGTAACTAAAAAAATTGCAGATTCTTAACAGCTTATGGTCTCTAGATCAACTTCTGAACTCCAGTCCACAAGACCCCCCACCCTGACAAATCATATTTGAGAATTTCCCTCTAATACATTTGCTTTGATAATCACCAGGTCAGAAACAATAAGTAAATGACATATGCATGGTGAAGGAAATTCTGAAAACATTATTTATTGGGTGTATTGGAGGATTGGAGTTGAGAAACACTACTCTGTAAGGCCAGCTCATTACACCAACCTTTTCAAACAAAAGAATGTGGGGGTGGCTCAGTGCAACACCTGCTTTAAAACGCCTCCCGCCCCCCATATAAGGTAATGACGGGCGCAAGGCGGTTCTCTCGTTCTGGGAGGATGTCATTTGACAACCTCCCACTCTAGCCACGCATGCGCGGCTTCGAGAGCGCACAGTGCGACCATTGGTTGTGCGCTCTGTCCCTCAGACACAGCGGATCACTGATCAACGGAAAGAGCCGAAGATGTCGGCTCGGTCATGTGATCAGCTGTGTCCAATCACAGCTGATCGCATGTAAATAGGGAAATGCCAGTTATCTGCATTTCTCTCCTCATAAGCTGTCACGCTGACAGCTTGAGAGGAGAGGAGAGCCGGTAATCGTCATTCCACAGAGAGGATATGTACACTGATCATCAGGGATGATCAGTGTGCCCTGATGATCAGTGTAGCCCCAGCAGTGCCACTTGTCAGTGCTCATCAATGCCACCTGCCAGTGCCCATCAGTGCCTCATCAATGCCACACCAGTGCACATCAATGCCACATATCAGTGCCCATCTGAGCTGCCTTTCAGTGCCACCTATCTGTCAGGGTCCGCCGCGGCTCCGTCCCCGGCGCATGCGCAATAGCGGCGGCTCACGCCGGGACACAGGCACCAGATCCCGGCGGGCCGCGGTTGACAGGAGGCCGCGCATCCGCAGTAGGAGCCGCGGGCGCGCCTCGGGCGACCAATGACAGCCCGGGGGCGCGTCCTGGGCGGCCAATGGCAGTGCAGGGCGCGATATTTAAAGATGCCCTGCACTGTCACAAATCGCCGCAAGGTCTGATCTGATACCTGTGTTTCCTGTGATTGTGACCCGGATTGTTTGACGTTCTGCCTGCTCCTGCCCTGACCCAGATTATCTGACTACGCTGCCTTCCCCTGTGATTGACCCGGATTGTCCCTGACTACGCTGCCTTCTCCTGTCCCGACCCCCGGCTTGTTTGACCATTCTGCGGACTGACCCCGGTAACTGACCCAGCGTGCGACCTGACCACTGTCTGCCTACTGTCTCGGTACCACGCCATTTCCCACGGTGACAACCGCCGGTTTATCCTGCCAGGTCCTGCCGGCCTCCTCACATCTGACTCTACTCTGTCCTACTTCTATCCACGGAGGCTCCCTCTGCCACGGGTGGTATTGCTCGGAGGTCGTGACCTGGTCCTGGTTCTGCTCCAAGTCCATCCCCACCATCAGGGGCCCTGGTGAAAACGCAGACCGGGACTTAGACCCCACGCTCCGGATGATTCCGCCTAGTGGGCTGCCAGAGGTGCCACCTGGCGGATCCGTAACACTATCAATGCCAGTCAGTGCCACCTATCAGTGCTGTGAATCAGTGGTGTCTATCAGTGCCAGTCAGTGCCGCCTATCAGTGCGCATTAGTGTCTGTCAGTGCCGCCTATCAGTGCCATATATGAGTGCAGCCTTTCAGTGTCCATCAGTGATGCCCGTCAATGCCCATCAGTGCCACCTACTAGTTCCTCCTCATCAGTACCACCTATCAGTGCCCATCAGTGCAGTCTATCAGTGCCCATCACTGCAGCCTCATTAGCGCAAATCAGTGAAGGAGAAAAATTTTATAACAAAAACTAAGAAAAAAACTTTTTTTAAAAAAATGTTTCAATTGTTTTTGGTTTGTTTAGCAAAAAATAAAAAACCCAGAGGTGATTAAATATCACCAAAATAAAGCTCTGTCTCAAAAAAATGATAAAAATGTCATTTGGGTACAGTGTTGCATGACCGCGCAATTCTCATTCAAAGTGCGACAGCACTGAAAGCTGAAAACTGGCCTGGGCAGGAAGGGGGTATAAGTGCCCTCTAGGCAAGTGCTTAAGCACATGATCATTCATGCATTTGTAGATTTGCATGACTGATCAAAAGCAAACAGAGTGTAATATTTTTGTGTCATGTACACAGATCTCATAAAAATACCCCATTGGTGCTGTGATTAAAGTACACTATACTGCCAAAAGTATTGGGACACCCTTCCAAATCATTGGATTCAGGTGTTTCAATCACCTCCATGGCCTCAGGTGTATAAAATCAAGCACCTAGTTGTGCAGACTGCTTCTACAAACGTTTGTGAAAAAATAGGTCGCTCTCAGGAGCTCAGTGAATTCAAGCGTGGTACTGAGATAGATTGCCACCTGTGCAATAAATCCAATCCGTATAATTTCCTTGCTACTAATTATTCCAGTCAACTGTTAGTGGTATTATGACAAAATGGAAGCAGCTGAGAACAACAGCAACTCAGCCACCAAGTGGTAGGCCACGTAAAATGACAGAGTGGGGTCAGCGCATGCAGAACTCTCCTACTGTCTGCAAAAGCTAAAGACCTCCAAACTTCGTGTGGCCTTCAGATTAGCACAGCAGTGTGTAAAAAACTTCATGGAATGGGTTTCCATGGCCAAGCAGCTGCATCCAAGCCTTACATCACCAAGTGCAATGCAAAGTGTCCGATGCAGTGGTGTAAAGCACATGGTCACTGGACTCTAGAGCAGTGGAGACGTGTTCTCTGCAGTGACGAATCACACTTCTCTGTCTGGCAATCCGATGGATGTGTCTGGGTTTGGCGGTTGCCAGGAGATCAGTACTTTCCTGACTGCATTGTGCCAAGTGTAAAGTTTGGTGGAGGGAGGATTATGGTGTGGGGTTGTATTTCAGGGGTTGGGCTTGACCACTTAGTTCCAGTGAAGGGAACTCTTAAGGCGTCAGCATTCCATGACATTTTGGACAATTTCATGTTCCCAAATTTGTGGGAACAGTTTAGGGAAGGTCCCTTCCTGTTCCAACATGACTGCGCACCAGTGCACAAAGCAAGGTCCAAAAAAACATGGATGAGTAAGTTAGTGGTGGAGGAAGAGTCCTGACCGCAACCCGATAGAACACCTTTGGGATGAATTAGAGCGGAGACTGTGAGCCAGGCCTTCTCGTCAGATATCAGTGCTTGACCTCACAAATGCACTTCTAGAAAAATGGTCAAACATTGCCATAGACACACTCCTAAACTTTGTGGGCAGCCTTCCCAGAAGAATTGAAGCTGTTATAGCTGCATAGGGTGGGCCAACTCAATATTGAACCCTATGGACTAAGACTGGGATGCCGTTAAAGTTCATGGGCATGTAAAGGCAGGCGTCCCAATACCTTTCACAATATAGTATAGTATTAAAAGTCCTATCACTAAGTACATTACTCTATGTGGGTCCACCACAGCACTGTATCCATAATGTATTTTCCCAAATACATCCATACAACAAAGAGTCCCAGTGTAAAGAGGAAGCCAGGGGAGAAAAGATGTAGCCATGCAGAGTGCTGAACTCTTCTCCCCTCTCTAACCCTTCACACAGGGAAGGAGGAGCACAGGGAACTTAAAAACATTTTTTTACCTTAATGCAAGCAATGCACTAGGGTAAAAAACATTTTTAGGTTTAGTACCACTTAAATGACTTACATTTTAAAGTTATGAAAGTGCCTTGGTTCGTATCCCTCTGCATTGCTTCCCTGAACTTCCAGTCTGGGAGCGTATATTGTACACTTCATTACATAGCTACTCTCCACAGCAGCTGTGGCAAAGCCATTGGAGGAGGAGCACAGGGCTCGCCTTTGAATGCAGGGATGTAGAACTCCCAGCATATTAAGATGTAGTCCTGGCTGGAGCGCATGTGTTAGAATGGCTCCAGGGGACTCTACAAGGGAGTGGAGCCACCCTATAGACCAGCGTCTCTCAACCAAGGTTCTGTGGAACCTTGTGGTTCCTCAAGAGGTTGCTAGGGGTTCATTGAGGTGTGGTTGATTATCCTCCCATTTGATGATGCCTCGAAGGCCTACACCACTTGGCAAATGTTGGCAGCATGACACCAATAATATTTTTAGATGTCTGTAATGGTGGCATTTAAACCACCAGTGTAAGGGATGCATTTTCTTAACTACCAATGTAAGGCATTTTTCTGATTGACCCCTGATGAACTGATTTTAGTAAAATGTTCCTCAAGACCTGAAAATTATTTTAAGTGTTACCCTGGTGCAGTGCTTCTCAATTATTTTCTGTCATGCACCCCCTAGGAAGAAGAAAACATTTTGCGCCCCCCCCGCACGACTGTAAATAGTATCATTTGTCTATAAATTGTTATAAGTAGGAATAGTGCCCCATCGTTGGTGTCAGTGGGAGGAATAATGCCCCATCATTAGTATCAGTGGGAGGAATAGTGCCCCATCATTGGTATCAGTGGGAGGAATAGTGCCCCATCGTTGGTGTCAGTGGGAGGAATAGTGCCCCATCATGGGTATCAGTGGGAGGAATAGTGCCCCATCATGGGTATCAGTGGGAGGAATAGTGCCCCATCGTTGGTGTCAGTGAGAGGAATAGTGCCCCATCATTGGTATCAGTGGGAGGAATAGTGCCCCATCGTTGGTGTCAGTGACACCAATGATGCGGCACTATTCCTCCCACTGACACCAATGACACTTACTGACCCCTGTTACAGTATGGTGCTGCTGCAGCCAGCATATGTGGTTGCAGCAGCACCTCTGCACTGCACACTTACTGGCTTTTCCCTCACTCGATTTTCGCGGGTCCGCTCGGCTCCGCCTCCTCGCCCCGTGATTGGCCGCCTGTGTACCTTTCCTGAGCTACAGTTCTGGCGGCCAATCACCGGTGAGGAGGGCAGGAGTGAGGGAGTAGCTGGAGTGACGGAAGGAGCAGCGCTTCCTGGATGGATCGTCGTGGGAGCCAGGTAAGAGACTGCAGCCCTCTGCCCACCCCTGTACTTAGTGTCCCTTCTGTCGGAAGGGGGGGGGCGGCGGCGGCACCGCGCCGCGCCCCCCCTTGACGGAGCCTCGCACCCCCCTGGGGGGCGCGCCCCACTATTTGAGAAGCACTGCCCTGGTGTAAAAAGATTGAGAAAGGCTGCTATAGACAGTAATGGGAAGAGAGAATCTGTAAAGGCTGAGTGTGAAGAAATTACAGATTACAACAAAAAACACACAGCAAACCAAATGAATGCTGAGGTATGCTGCTACATATATTATTTCACATAGAGGGTTAAATAACATTTTAAAAGGAAGCAACAAGGATTCAATTCAGATTAAAGCTGACTATAGATTAAAAAGGCACTGCAATCTTTAAATCATTAAAGAAAGGCTGCCTCTTCAGGGTGACCTTCCCGACTATGCTTACATTGCCAGTGATCCTACAATGCTCATTGCCCTTCTGCAGCCAGATAGAAAACCTCTAAATTTACAGTGCACAGGTCTAGCAGCCAATTTGTAGTCCTAAGCACTGAGAACTGTCATTAGGTGCAGGGGGTGCTGCAGCAAAAGCAAGAGCATCACAAAATCATTGGTAATGTGATTATAACTGGGGGTGAATAGGAACCTTTTCGAAAAGCAGTCACTTTGCCCTCAATGGGCAAAATGATTTCATCTCTTTAAATTTCAAAATGTCCTGTGTAGCAAAAATATATGCTACTACATACTACAACAAAATAAGTTCTGCCCATACCGCTTGATCTTTGTAAGAAAAAAAAAAAACGTTGTTAATGAAATAACAGACTACACAATGGAAAATGTTTATTAATAGTTGACTTTATTTGTAATTTTATTTGCATTTTAGAAAAAATATTTAAACAAGGAAAAGAGCATTTTATATTCAGTTTACAGTACATAGCCTTTATTTACTTTGTACACACTACAGTACTTTGTGTTTTTTTTTTTTTTTGTGTGCAGAAAATATTTGTGAACAAATTGAAATATTTAGCAGAATTACTAGCAAACATCCTATATAAATTCACTGGTTTGCCTGGAAGCCCATCTAAAATATACTGTAGATCTGAACAAATTTCATAAATGACTTAACTAAGGTTTTAAATTATGAAAATACTGTGTACAATTCACATCCTTTTGTATACGAGTTATACATATCTGCATACCACAATTATATTTCACTGTAAGTAAAACACATTTAGGTTGCTACGTTAAAAAGAAGAACCCCACCTAAAACCCTTTTGTCACTAGCTGCAGTCAAGTCTACTTGTGACCCTTGCTGGAAGATCCCTCTAATTCCAAACCCATGTGTGGCTTGACTGGAAATTAAATTTCCTGGTTCACTCCTCGGTAGTGAATTTTCCATATATTCCTAAAAAGAGAATCTGCTGGGGGCTACCATCAGAATGCACTGAATTATATTGATGGCATTCCATATTACCCACTGCCTAGTGGCTTCACCAAAGGAATGTAAGAAGAATGCAGCAAAGAGAGGGGAACCAGGGTTTTCCTTTTATAGGTCAATCTTGGCTGTCAGACTGAGGGCCAGATCTCTCTGCCTGGGTTCAAGACTTTAGTTTAGACCTGGCGGGAACCCAACTATACCATATCAGTTTTAATTGCAGAAAAATGTAGAGGCAGTTTCTAAAAATACAAAACCATTGCTACTAATTGTAAATGAAAATTAGATTTGCAAAAAGAAATAAAAGAGGACTGGCATTACAAAAGACTGCTTGGGTGGAGGATATGGAGGACAAGTTTGTGGGTAACCGATACTCTCTTGCATGCAGTACAATAATCCAGCTCCAATATAAAGCTCTCATTCCAAGGAAGTCTTGCAGGGTCTTACTCCCCTCACTAATTATGTTTCAACTGCAACGCTAACATCACTGTTAGCTGCTTTTATCTTAACGGAAAATACGCAGAAAAACTTGGGCACTTCAATTACTAACTTTAATATTTTTTACTTGGAACAAAGAATGCAGACTATAAAGTTCATACTAGAAAGTCTGAATTACAGATATACATACTTCTTCTGGACTGGTGACTCAAAGCAAAGAAGGCAACAGACCAGCAAGATAGGTAAGAAACTAGCATTTTAAGAAAAACAGGTCAGCAGCCTTTATATTATTGCAGAAGGGAAAAGCAGGACTAAAATTTCCTACAGTAATCTGATACATATCAGTTGCCGTGTATTTATTGATTACGTGACTAGCATATTAATCCCTAAAGTGCCACAGTATTCCCTTAAAAGCCCACTGGAGACCAAATAGAGCCCTCTATTGATTATTCTATTTACAAATTTTCACAGTTGTAATATAAACAGGTGGCAAGAGACTGACCCCAGGAATAGTGTTAAAATGTTAAAGTGTTACTAAACCCAGGACCCTGCATTCACTATATCTGGCCTCCCACAGTACACAGAACATGCAAATGAAACTATTGTAGTAAATATAAACTGCTAAATACTTTTTCTAATCAGCAGTGTATAGCAGTCTTGTGACTGCTATCAGTGACTAGCTAAGCACTGATTAAAGCTTGTAGGAGTAGTCTTCATTCTGCTCTGACTGTCCTATGAGGCTGCATAACCGCTGATCCTTTGTCTGGACAGCGCTGAATGGCCCTTTGCTTATCACATGTACCCTCCTAAGAAAACCCCAAAAAACTCTACCAATACCCACAAACCTGAGCATGTGGAGAGTGATTCCTAGAGCTCTGTAGTATCAGCAGATAGATTGGGGACAGTAGAAGAAGGGGAGGATCACACAGCCTATTTACATATGCGCAGGATTAACCCCTTAGGTTCCACAGTGAGTATATCAAGCTTGCTTTACTGCAAATACAGACTGATTTTACTGTTGTGGGCTTAATAACACTTTAAGTGCTGGATCTTCAGGGCAAGGCAGCAATTTACACACAGACACAGCCTAGTCCATCATCATCCACCAGGACAAAACTAACAGTCTTTGCTTGTTGAAGGCCTTCTTTATATGTACCATCCAGAAAATGTAAAAA